TAGGCTTTAATTTACTTAATATTTTCTATATTTAAAAATGTTCTCATCTAACTAAAATTTCGTGCTGAAAACTTTTATTTAGAAGTCAAATGTGTAGTTTCATAGCAAAATCTTGAGTTATTTATGATTTTTCTGTTTTCACAATGCTTTTCGATTTTTTTAAGTTACACGAGATCATGTGATTTTATTGACATAGCCTTTCACAGATTCAGTATGTGCTAAAAATAAGATGTCTAATTTAGTAAATTGACTTTTGAGGTGGCGTTTCCATGGAATTAATTTGAGGTCCCAAATAATAAAGTTTATTTTGTTTGTTTTGTACGTACGTACGTACATGCATATTAATTGTGGGTTTGTTTGTACGTAGACAATGATTGGGGACTTAAACAATAGAGTTCATCATTGTTTGTTTTGTACATATTTGATTACCCAAATTAGTAAGATATCAAATTTGTAATTCGGCCGAGATAAAATAAAGAATTTCGATAATTAAGTTTCACGAAAATAGAATTCCTGAAAAAAGCATTTTTTAGTTTATCTATTATAGTTTTAATTATAAAATTTCTAAAGGCTTCGAGAAAAATCGCGAAATTTCAAATTTATATGTAGGCTGAGTGGGCAGTGTAGCCTGCACAGCCTGTATTATGTGAAATTTTTTTTTATATTTGTTAATGCAAGGTCATTTGTATACTTCCAGCACTTTTAATGTCTCTATTGAGTTAAATATACAAATGATTGAAGTAAGTGCAGAGGCACATATCAGTGTTACATGTGATTTTCATTTTACCCTTAAAATCTTCCACCTGTACCTGTCGATGTGCCACGTGCAGTACTATATGTACTGTAAGTAAAAATTTTTGGCTGTACTCCCTGTAGATAGATCATCATAATACAATCGTTATACAAACCTTTAACTGTACCCCATATCTTCCTAATTAATATGTCATATACATACATTCCCTTATTACCATATGCATGATTAGTGATGTGCCATTTACATGATACCCGAATTTTTTACGCGTACAGTACATGTAGTACAGCATGATCAATACTATGATAGATGTAACGCGTAATCATAATGCTTCGATAATGAATATAAGATAAGATTAGCTGTTGGTTATAATCTAGCTTCATTGTCCTTTTTCTAATTTCACCATTACGCCAAAGTAGTAGTTGTATGGTAAATCAATTGAGTTATTAATAATACGTTTACTTACTATCACACTATGCTAACCCGATCCATAGTTCTTATAATTGATTGTATTTCAAAGGTAATATTGAATTAGAAACATTATGGCGCGTTAACGAAATTAAGCAAATAATTGGACCCCAAATTTAGATTTTGGTTATCAAATTATATATTAGTCAATCAATGTTAAACCCTGAAAAAGTTTTTGACCCTAATCTGTACCGATAACGAGTCTAACTCATTTTCATCACAGGATAACCCATATTCCCACCCCTGACGCATCTCATTAGACATAGAATTTATTATAATGACGCATCATAACTTGTAGAATGTTGATTATCTCAATAAAATCTATACTTACATATTAGTAGTAAAAATTTTCAAGTTTTGTGGCATTTCGCAAATGCATCATAATGAAAGGTGCATCATTAGTGTCTGTATTAGCTGAATTAATAATAGAATGGTATTATATCGGTATCGATGAGGTTATAGTTGTCGCGTAGTTATAAAAGACCACCGTATTTGCCTTGCTAGCACTTGGAGGTAGTGAAACCATAAGCAATTACGGAAAATTCCATGCGCACGAAATACGCATGAAATTTGAAACAATCGGAATTTGCACATCACTACTTGGAGGGTCTACTGTACTTACAGACTGTAGTTAGAGGTTCTATCTGTTGTATTCTTCCTTTATGAATAAATATTCTTATTATATCGTATCCGTGACTCTATCCTATATTCTTATATTTATATACTGAATTAGCATTGCAGGCGTATTTATTTATTTCATAATGTCTTTATTACTCTTGCCTTAATCTAATTACAAATATTCTTACACATATTCACTATCGCTGAGTTAAAGAACTGGCACCCAATTCCTGACGCTCTCCCGTAACACCAGTCAATCATTTGATCGTTGGACCTGACGCTCTCCCGTAACACCAGTCAATCATTTGATCGTTGGATGAATTTTGTGTTATTTACTAGATAAATGCAAAGCATTAGATATCCGGAGCAAAATATTTATTAAAAACTATATATATAATATTTATTTGATAATCGATTTTTATAATTTGTTGATCAGCATTATTTGATTGTTTAATTGTTATATGTTAAGACCAGACAAATAACCTTTTTTTTAAGGTTTCGGAAGCGGTCTTCGTTGTCAAACATTGACTTTTAATATTAACTAATGACAACTTGAATGAATTTTTGAATAAATAAATATTGAATCATGCGGTTATTTGTCCGGAGCGAAGCGAAGGACACACGATTTCTTTACAAAGTAAGACGGCAAGGATTTTCCCTAAAAAATAATATTTTGTATTTGTATGATTTATTAAATTGTATTGTGTAATTTTATGACACTTTGTATATTTTTTGGTTTAAAAAAAAATTGAGACAAACAGATACTTTTCAAATATTATAGTGTTATTATCGTTGATTTATTTAATTTGTGATATTTTTATGATTTTGTATAACAATGATATACTTTTGGAGCCTACTGTACTTACAAGCCATAACAGTATACGCATATAGAAGCAGTATATGACGGAGAAGATCCAATCAAGGATAGAGTTAAGATAGTAATGTCGATACAGGGAAGATACTTATGTGTGCTGGTAATACAAATGCAAACACATAAAAGGATATAGCTACGCAATGGGATCCACACACGTGTAGAAAAACCAATATCTATACTACGGTCAAAATTGACAATGGTGCTTCAGAGGAAAAGATCGTCCGATCAACTATGTATGTACGTACAATATTGGGCAAGCATCCGTGATTTTGCTCAAAGTGACGAATAATTGGATTAAACACGCACGTGCAGCTTATAATTTATCCGCTTTGCCAATATTAGTGTTATAATCAACCTCTTTCGAATTTGTGTGACACCAGTTTTACACCTTTCTGGTCTGTCTTTTTTGGATCCATTATAAGTGACAAATGGTTATAGAAGGAAATGCATCGCAGATTTTTGTTGCGTTTATATTATCTAGTATCAGCGCTCTTGATATTTCTCTTGCTATGCCGTACCGTGTTATGCTATAGAAAAAACTTGTGCTAGATATACAAAAAATTTCTAAAAAAACACCATTCTGTTTAATTTTTGATTATGTAAATTAGAAAAATTAATCAAAAAATTAAGTAGAATGATGCTTTTTTAGATAGAAAACACTTATTTATACAAAAATATCATTTATATATAGGTGATATGTAAATTTATGTATTCTAAAAAAAAGTACTTTAAAATGCATAAATAATTAAATAAAATTTATTAATAAGCAGACATACTTTTACTATGAATGGCATTTAATTTGTTGGATGACATAATGTAAATTGAACTTTATTGGCTTGTTTTTGAACATACTTGTAACTATTATTATTTATTATAAATAAACCTAGAATTAATATACTATATTTTCGAGTTCTTGCCCGGACGGTAAATTTAGAAATGTGGCTTAAATAAAACTTTTATCTTGCCTCGTAACATTTCTAGTCTGCTTCAGAATGCACATTATTTATATATTCTTTAAACCTCATGTCCACAACGTTTTAATTGAGAATTTGTCATCAATAAAAGTCGAACAGATTTGTTAAATAAATTCATTTTTATTTACGACATCTATATTTGGTGCCATCAAAGGGAATCAAAGCTCCGGGATTCTAAATTTAAAATCTATTCTTTTGATTTTTATTGATTTTTTTTTATAGCAATGACGTGATTCTCGGTGATATACAATGCACCTAGCAAAAAAAAAAACATTTTAAATATTTTTTAATTTACGAAACTGTGTTACATACGTGCGTACTTGATTTAGTAATAGATATTACGTACATTATTGTATTACGGTTACAGTACATAATCAATCTATGAATGCACATGCGTAGATCATTGGATCCTTATTACTAAAATTGAAACCCTTTCGCCAGTTATCATAATCCCTCACAAATTTTAATATATGTGTAACATTAACGGTCTCTGATGTACTAAAATAGTGCTACAAGATATTCTTAGATAAATATAATGGCTGTACAAAAATTTTCATTATCACATGAAAACTATTATTCATTTACTCTATTAAATAACATTTTACTTTGTTATAGTTTAAATAATTTATGTTGTCATAAGGTTAAAATTTTATACTATTGAATTTGCGCTAAGGAATAATAGCTTATGGTAATTTGTAATTTGATTTTAATCGGACCAATATTCCTTAATGATAAACAAGGACGTATAGAATAAAACATTAATGAATACTGGAATATAAAAAGAAATATAAATCACATACATATGTACCGGAATAAAATCTTTATATTACATATTAGATTGTCAATTGTATAACCTTGGCCTTATGAATTCCATTATTTCCATAAATACGGTGTTCACCGGTAGAATAATAATTTCTTAAAAAGAATATATCAAAAAAATATTAGTCAATGTTAAAAAGCGTTTTGATAAATTAATATATGCGTGGACTTTTCTAAGTAATTTCTATGTTTAGTAACAATGATTCGAATTTTTCATTTACTATTCTTAGCTTCTTTGAATCGACACAAAACAGTCAATCAAGTTGAATTATTTGTTCCGCTAATACCTAAAATCTGATTGGTTTTATACTAGAACAGCCAATCAAATTTTAGATTCACCAGTTAATAAAAAAACTCAACGAATAGATCAACGAACACAAGAATATATTATTAGAGGAAAATAAATTCCTAATTCTCCGAGATTTGTTTATAAATTCGAGAGTTAATCAGTTATCATTTTTGCAATTTACGAATAATTAATTGTGAAAACACAAAAATGCCCTCAGTATCGCATAGTCTCTCAACATCAAGGTGCAACGTAACCGTAGCTTGTGATTCTTGTAAATGCTTAAAAAAAAAATGTGGAAACATAGGAAATCTTGATCAACCTGATAAATGCAGTGAATGCTTAAAGCGTAATGTTGAATGCACTTATTCCGTTCCCCACAAAAAACGAGGTCCACCAAAGCGAGGTCCCAAAAAATGTGGTCACAAAAAACGTTGTCCCAAACCGATACCCACTACACCATTGCCTCCTCATAAGATAATAGAGTTTAATGTTAATGGGTTGTGGGAGATGTTATATGATTTATCTCAGATCGATAACAATAGTGAGTTCTCTACTCAAGATCTCATTACTAATGATCAGATGGAAATCCTTACTTCAACCTCATCATTACCATGTCCATATGAAAATACTGCAGGCCATTGTTGTCATATGGGATGTATAGTGAGATATAAATATAATATTTAATTATCTTTTAGGGGCTTAATTTACATGTTACTATTTAATATTGGCAAAACTTAATGGCAAGGTGATAAGTTTAAAAGTACACCTTACGGAAAATAACGCAAGGAATCGACTTCTGATAGCCTTATGTCTTATTTAATCGAACGTTAAATAATATAAACCGATGTTGGCACAACGTGTAATGCGATTGCTTCAAAATTTCATATAATAATATTCGTAGGGTGGGGGGCTCAATAATGGACAAGAGGATTTTTCCTATTACCATTTGGAATAACAAGCCTTTTGAACACGCTTTTAAAGTGTATTGCTAAGAGAATTTTTTCAACAAAAATTTCTACTAGACTTTTCAAGATTATGCATTAATTACATTGAAAGCTCTATTATGGCGCCACAAAAATCGTCCTTGTGTAACTATCGATATAATTTAGGTCGGAAATGACGTGTTAGCCTTTGCGGGGTCGAAAAACCCTCACTATTTCGGGATTGCTTGGTAGCAGCGCACAAAACTTACGGTTAATTTAATATAATTTTTTCCGGATGCGTTTTTTCCTAACCGAAACTTAGAAATCACAGTCGGAAGTCGTTATTATAATTGACGGAAATTTACTTTCCTATGAAAAATCGAGCCGGAAATTGTCTTACACAAACGGAAGTCCCCGGCATTTTACATTCGGCCGCAAAAATTTGGTGGTACCGTGATCTCTGAGACAAATCGTTTAAGTAGTAGTTCGGATGAATACTACGTGATGTCACAGAATTAATTTTACGTTGATAAGTTTTGTGGTTCATATTAATATATCTTTGAATAGAAAATCTAAAATTAATTAATACATCGGAATTAATATATAGCAAAATTAATATCTTTGGAATTAATATATAGCAAAATATCTTCAAATTAAATAGACAGAAAAATTAACATCTCCGAAATTAAGCATATAGCTAAGATTAATATCTTCAAAATTAAATAGATAGAAAAATTAGTATCTTCAAAATTAAATATATACCTTGAACAGCTTTGTATCACTGATAATATAACACTGCTAGATTAGAAACATCTCTCATTTCACTTTTTTTATTTACCTAAAAAATGAAACCCATTATGGTATATTTATTTAAAAGGCATTGTAATGAGCTATAACAGTTACAACTATAGTATATCTCTCTGCCTACAACTCACAACACATTCTAAAAAATTTAAGCTATGACTTCTTATGTATTAGGATAATAAAGATATTATTGGCAAAATCAACAGATACCTTCATAATATTAATTAGTTATTAATTACACTTAGAAACCTATGATTTAGCCATTTCGATAATTTGAATATGATCGTAATATAATTATTGATTGTTAATTCATAAAAATGCAATCATAATCAATTAGCAATTCGAATAAAAATTCCAATACACCATAAAAAAGGCACATTCGATTCGTCAACCCATTATTCACGCTGTAAATTATTTCATTGAAATTCTTATGTATATTTTTTAAACCTGTTCATAAGTGTTAGTTAAAAGTTACAGATCGGTATGACTTTTATAAACTTGGAAAATTTTCATTCAGTCTTGGTAGTTATTCTGTTGATTTCTAAGTTAAAACTGAACAAACCAAACAAACTGTTATTCTGTTAAATGCAAGTTTAGAATGAACAAACCAAGTAAGCTGTACTGTTTGTTTTACAAATGAAACCAGTTCATGCTCTTTTACTATTTCAGATAACAAATGTAAAGATGATCCAACTTGTCAACTTTTTTGGATACCTAGAAATACTTGGCATCTCTACAAAAATTAAACTTCAGCAACTTCAAAACAATCTCTGGTCTGTCATTAATATTCTTCAGAACAATTAACTACTTATAAATAGATTCTGCAAATTTATACTTAACACTAAAATTATACAATTTCTACAGCACCTAAGCATTTCAATTTTAGCAAATTCTTATTAATTCTTTGTTGAATGCAGAATACATGATATTGTAACTGGATGTCCCAAATATTATTGTCTGAAGGACATTACTGTTGAGGCATAGAGCACCTGATGTCTGTTTGTATGTGTACAAATTATGAATTTTGATTGGCTAGATCAGGTGTAATGTAAAAAAATCAAAACAACCAATGATCAATATTTATTGGCTAGATAAGTGTAACATAAAACAAAAATCCTTTGGACTTTAAATAGCTCTATTTTCTTAGTTGTCTGAAGGACATTACTATTGAGACATAGAGTACCTAAATAATCTTAGTATTATACTTAGTAAGTTTGTATTAAGAGTAAATTCAAAAGAATATAAATACTTAGTAATATCCAATGAGGTGTTATTTAGATATAAATAGTAACTAAGACAACTCTAACCTGATATATTACTTAATAGAATGTAAATATTGCATATATGCAAATAGTATTGAAAATCAAAAAGTTTAAATAAAAGATCCAGAGGTGGGTCTCAGATATGACATCTAGTAGATAATCTGTAGCCAAAACCCTTAATTAGATAATAACTAAAGTTATATATATGACTAGTTGTACTTTTATTGATAGACTATTGTATATAAAAAAATATTATATGATTATTATATGATAGAAATAATATTTCTCATTAAATATTTAACCAATTTTAATGATTTTATTATTATTAGAATTAGTACAAACTTTCTATCTAGCACCAAACACAAAATTTATAAAAAAAAAATCAAAGTTTATATAAAAACTAGAGATGTACATCTCGCGATTCACAAAATTCATGCACATGTGATCTCATGTGACTTTCGCGAAATTATGTCATATTTCTTGCAAAATAAATTAATTGATTAAAAAAATTTAATGATTAGTAATTTATTATATGTAGACGTAATAAAATTAATCTATCATAATATAGTATATATTAGTAAGCAAAAAAATTTATATAAATTTTATTTTATTTTATTTCGATACTTATGTTTTAATCATGCCACCCAAGAGACCAATTTGGAATCATTTTACACAATTAGGAATTGTAAATGGCTTTAATAAAAAACGAGTTTGATGTAATTATTGTAGTCATGAAATGGGTGAAGCTGCAGGTCGATGTGAAATACATCTACAAAATGATTGCTCACAAGTTTCAAATGAGGTTTTGGTACAATATTTTGGAACAAATGTTCAATGAAATAATTTGGAACAGCAAATTATTAGAAGCTTTTTTAATAATTTTTCAACAAATCAACTACCTCAACAAGAATTAGACTTATTATTTGCACAAGCAGTTTTTTACTGTGGTTTACCATTGTCTTTTTCTGAAATGGATCCAATTAAAATTCTTTTTAAACGTTTATATCCTTCTTTTGACTTACTATTACGAAGACAGCTTACAAATATCCTGTTAGATCAAGTTTATACAAGTGTCAAAACTAAAGTTAATTAATGTATTAATAATGCCGAATTTTTGATACTTATTTGTGATAGATGGACGAGTATTGTTCAAGATCATTGGGTGAACTATATTCTTGCAACGCCCAAGCCTGTTTTTGTTTCTGCAAAAATTACTGAAGAAACTCAACAAAATTCTAATAACATCGCATTAGATATGTTAGATATATTAAAAAATATTGATAATAAAAAAGTATCAGCAGTAGTTACGGACAATGCATCCGTAATGAAAAAATCATGGAAAATTATTGAAAAGGAATATCCTTTTATTATTTTTATGGGTTGCTTAGCACATGGATTAAATTTACTTGTAGGCGATATTATAAAACTTGATTGGGCTAATACTATAATGGAAAATACTAAAAAAATTGTCAATTTTTTTTATAACCATCATATACCAAGTGCTATATTAAAACGACACCAAGCAATTCAATATAGAAATAGAAAAACTACCTTAAAATTACCAGTCAAAACTTGTTGGAGATCTGCTGCTATTTGTTTAAACTCGGTATTGTCGAACAAGCTTGCTTTAAAATTAAGTTTGATAGAACTTACACAACATAATACGACTAAGATTAATAATGAAATCATATCAATTATTAATAATAAAAATTATTGGAGTGAAGCTTGTTATTTGGCAAAAATTTTAAAATATCTTGTTTACAGTATTTCTATATTTGAAAGTGACAACTCAAGATTGTCTCAATTTTGGGAATGATACCATAATTTGTTAAATTTAGAATGTATATATGCATGTTTTGTTAAAATTACAGGTTTTTTATTTATAATAATTTTTGTATATATATTTTAAATTAGAAATTCACAATTTACATGCAAGTGTTGAACTCAATACTATAATTAAGAAATGGTGGGAAAAGATATATCATCCAGTAATAGAAGTTGCATACTTCCTTGATCCAAAATTCGTGGGAAGATTTTTACCACCTTCAAGTATTATGATTGTATCAGAATTTATTTCAAAATATTACTCCTCCAACTCAGCAATTATTTGGAATCAACTAGTTAGATATAAAGTACAAGATGGAGTTTTTAGTGGCCCATTAATTTGGGATTCACAGTCATTGTCAGAACTTACGCCCACCACATGGTGGAAAGGAAATTTTAGTTCTGTTGTATATGATTTATGTCAGATGGCAATCTGGGTTTTGACTATTCTTACATCATCTGCTGCATCTGAATGAAATTGGTTGACATTTGCATATATTCATGACAAAAAAAGAAATCGGCTAATTCCTGAATATGTTTTAAAATTAGTATATATTTATACTAATTATCGATACTTGGCTATTAATTATTTAAACTCTAATTTAGAGTTGTTGACAAGCTTTCAAGAAACCATTAATAATAATGATAAAAATTATGTTATTTTAGAACCAAATCAAAAATATAACGAAAGTAATCAAGAACATGAAGAAACTACATTATTGTTTGAGAGTGACGATGAATTAATTAATTTGAATGAAAGTGAAGACAAAAATTATGAATAAGGTAAAAGTTAATAAATACTAAAGTTTATTCTAATTTATGTACCAGCAATAGAAATATGCTTTCATATAAATATCAAATGCGAATAGTATTAAAATTTGATTGGGATTTTAATATTTAAAAATATGCTATAAATGTTTTTTTTGTCTTAACGATAAATTTTTTAAATAAAAATGGAATATAACACTGCAAGTAACTAAAATTTGATTGTTTTGAAAATCATTATATTCACATGTTCGGATCGTTCATATTTAAAAATATAAAAATTGCTTCGTATCTTATTGTGACAATATTAATTCTTCCAAAATATTTATTAAATTGTTATATGAAAAAAATTGGTTTTGATTTACTCAGTTAACAACCAACCCCGATATTTCATGAGAAATCGCACAATATGATCTCGCATGCGATATGTGAAATAGATATTAGGCTTATCTCGCGAGATGTACATCTCTAATAAAAACTATTTTTAAAATTACAGTTAAAGACTTAAACGAAAAGAAAACAGACCTAGCAGATATAACAGTAAAGAAAAAATTATAGGGCAAGTAGAAAGAAAACAAACTTAACTAGACAAAAATCAAAAAACAAAAAATTTGAGAAAATAGTATTGATTTGAAATTAGAGATTAGTTTAAAACATTTAAGTACATAATTAAGCAAATAAACAAATACTTACAAAACTAGATAGAATAAATATATAAGTATTATAAAGTATATGTAATAAAAGATAAATTAAAAAGAGTTATACAAACACAGTTAAATGATAATATAAACAAAATTAGAAAAATCAATAAAATTAAAGTTGGTAAATAAAAGAGCAAAGATAGTACTAAAACTTATAAATAGTAAAAAGTTAGAACAAGAGTTAGCAAATAGAGATAAGAAATTTATTATAAAAAATATAATTACAGTAACACTATAAAAAACAAATCTAATAAAGATAATAATATTGAGAAAAATATATATGACAATAATTAAAATAGATATGAAAGATCTATCTAGTATAAAAAAATAAATAGTAGAAATAAATTATGTAAGTCAATATTTAATAACAATAAAAAGCATAAGAAGTAAAAAAAACCAAATAATATTAAGCAGAGAAACCATTATATAAAAAATATAAATAAAAGAAATAAGACAAAAAACAAAAATAATATATATATTATATATTATTTTTAAATTTTATTAATTTTAATTGATGTATATTATTTTTCAATCTTTATCAATTGGAAAATAACATATATCAAATTTAATGCAGATTATTATTAAACTTAAATATTTTATGTAAATTATTATCAAATTTAATAAACTTTTATAAAGTAATAACTACATATTTTAATATGAAAAATAAATAAATAAAAAATTTCAAATTAAATAAATTTTCATTTTCTTTTGCTATTAATAATATGGAATTGTAGAGATGTGGTAACTTAGTGAAATGGATAAGTTGTCAACCCTCCAAGTAGTAGGTTGTGAGTTCAAAATTCACAGATAATGAAAATTTGGATAATCACCTATATAATATTTGTATTATGACTATTGTTTCTAATGATTGGGTTAAGATATCTGTAATTATAGTCATACTAGTATGACTGGCAGGTCATAGGGCATCTGTATAACTAATTATACAAAGGAATACAAACTGGCATCAGGCAGTGCAAACTCAAAATAAGTTCTTGTAATCATATAAATTTGTAAAAATTAAGAAACAAAAAGCCCTTTTGGAAAGACCTGATTAGAGAGGTAATATAGATCTTTGACAGTACTACTGTAAAGGCTAGATCTAGGAAATAAATATCAATATGGAGTACCAAGATGGGCAAAAACCTCTGGGTGGGAGAGTACTACCAATTAGGCCACCAAAAGTCCAATCAAAAAGATCAGAGGAAAAGGATATTGGGCTGACCTAATATACCAATAAACTGGTTGTAGTCCAACTAGGCTATCTGAATTAGGAATTTGGAAAAAAAACAGGAGTATACTAAAAGTACTAGAAATATACTGTAAAGTAAGTGCTGGAGTCTAAATAAACTCTACAAGAGCAAGCCTTGTTAATGTTCTATAGAGTGGATAAGTAGTTAACAGAGTGGCTTTCAGAACCTTATAGTCAGGTAACATGCTTTGAAATTAGGTAATGGCTTAACAAATGTATAGAAAAGAGACAAAATGTTAGGTTAAATGACACTTAAGTGTACAGGAACTGGAATAGTTAATTGTCTGGATGTAGTATAGAAACAAGGTATTTAATTGAATAGTCTCCTAGCAGATTATAGATATGGCAGCTAGTATAGAACCCTCAGATGGACTATCTAAATAGGTAGCCAAAAGTTACATATATAGCTAGTTGTATACTTATCCTATACAAATAATATATAATGTATTCACTAAAAGAACAAATAAAGACATTAGCTGCTATTAATATTAGCTTTAATTAATAAATAAATAAATAAATTTATATAGAATTATTAAGTTATAATTTTCTTTTTAGGAATCTTTTAAATGTATTTTAGAAACTTATCTTAATAAGAGAAAAAATAATCATTGTTTAATAGATAAAAACTGGTATTTTGAATGTTTAAATATTCTAAAATATTCTTATATTCTACATAATTCATTTTTGAAACACTAGGATCTTCATAGTTCAACTCAATACAGTTAAAGAACTTTATTTAATTAAACAAGATAAAAATAATTTAGATATACAAGTCTGTTTTAAAGAATGTTTTTATGAAATAATATGTGCAGCTTATCAGACTACTAAACACAGAAGTCAAGAGAAAATATAAAAAAGATAAATTTTTATAATATTAATTTATTAAATAATTTATAATAATTAGATTTGTGTTAAATATTATTTCATTTCTTAACAAGTAGTTGAAGATGCAGTTTATAAATGTATATATATATAATATGAAAATTTTCTAAAAAAGTTACACTTATACATCCAATCATTTCAGAAAGATTTTTAAATCCATATAAGTAAAAAATTAAAATTATAATTATATAATAAAAAAATTAATTTATTAATTTATTAATTATTTATTTAATTATTATTATTATTATTATTATTAAGATCAATACAATTAATATAAATGCAGTATCAGATGATAATTATAAAAATATATTCTACATTAAAGATCACTTTACATAATACTTCTATGCTGAGTTATTACAAACTAAGTTATCTAAAAATGCAGCTATATGCTTATTTAACTTCTATTTACTTTATAGTTTTTTTTTTTTTTTTAAATATTAACAGTGAGGCCATGCCTTTAACTTTATTAAAATTCAATTAAAGTTTTTATAAAGAAAAGCTTGCTTTTAAATTACATATGAAGAATA